TGTTTTCAAAATTGGTTCATTCGTATGAAAAAGTGCATTAACGCTAACGGAGAATATTTTGAGAAACAATAAATTCATTTCTGACCATTTATAGTATTTTTTTCTTTTTCATTCCGGAAACTTATTTCAAAATCGGACGGTCTTCTGAATTTTCAAATTTCAGCCGAACGTATAGCCTTCTCCTTTTTTTTGAAGTCGGTTAAAAAGTCACACAGCTGTCACCGTATTATCGTGCAATATTGAAATAATTTAGGTAGTATTGATATTTTTATACTATTTGATGTAATTTTGGAAACACCGAGCGACCGCTACAGTTCTTTAACTTAATGGCGCTTGCGACCATCCACAATATGCAACGCGAGTGTTTAGTGTGTGGAACACGTCGCGTAGGACAAAACAAACGCTGTCATTCAACGTCGATTGACTTTAATTCATCATCTGTGATTGTCAATACACGTTTAATATCTGCCAAACGCTTACGCCATCCAATGGTATTTCTAGCAGAGCGTGGCTCTGCGGGATAATAATTTCGCGATGAAGAAATAATTGGAAGAAAATTAAATAACGTAAAAATGTCCGTTCAACATCGGATTGAACCTTTCAAAAAGTATAATTACGACACCTGCAGTCTTTCGGAGTCGAGGCGCATAATTGCGATTCACAACTGGTCGATCGGGGCTTTTGACATTTCTAATCGGAACAATAGCTGATTTAACTCACAAATTAGAAAGATACAGTAGGAATCAGGTTCATCTTCTCACTCAGAAACCCGTCTGATTTCGAGACTACCAGATCGGATCGATTCCGATTAGAAGCAAAATCAGGACGCTGGTGCATCCAAGCCCAGGCAATACTCATTAAATCATAATTACGGAACTATGCCAGCGGTAAAAAAAATACTGGCAGCGGATGCTAAAGACATATATTAGCACGTTCCGAGCTACTTTCTTTTGATCTCTTACTTACTTCGATATTTAATGTGCAGAAATGAAAACAAAAAGTGTTAGCTCTTCAACAATTGTTTCATTTACTACTTACTCTAATAATCTGACTCTTACATAGCGACGCGCAAAATAATTATAATTAATATTGTGGTAGGAATTAACAAAATAGTACAAAATGGGATTTGCGTACTCTTACACTATATTGTGGGTAAGAGTACGCATGTGCTCCGACAATAGTACGCAACCCCTTTTTTGATAGGATTTCGTTTTTCGGACTCTGTACGCGCGGATTCTTGAAACACATCGAGCTGCGTACTCGCACATTTCACCCATTTCAGAATAAAACTGTTGAGTAGGTTCCAAACACATTGTTGCAAATGACCAGAATCTGCAGTTTGTCCTCTAGACAACTTTTTGGACGATTCGGTAGAAATTCAATTTTCAAAACATATATAGGTATTATTGGAAATGAATCTATTTTTCCGGATTTAAATCGCGTAGATTTGTCTTTTCAAACAAACCAACGTTTCGGGCCATGTTCACGGTTGACTGAAACTGAACGTTGGTTTGTTTGAAAAAACAAATATATGCGATTTAAATCGTTAAATTTAAATATATTAAATTTAAATTCGTGGTGCAGAACTAAAGGAGTCTATCAGTACGTAATAGTTTATGGTAGCTATTTTCTACAACTGCACATAGTATGGATAAGGACGTCAATATAACTAAATTTGTGAGTTTTAATTGCAAGTCAGTTACAAGATCCATAGAGGGCGTAAGGCAATTATGTAAAAAAGCGGACGTGGTTGCTCTTCAGGAGACCTGGCTTCTTCCGCATGATGTGGCGTTTATTGGGACTATCGATCAGAGTTTCGAGTTTATTAGTAAATCGGCGGTGGATACATCAACTGGTCCACTGAGGGGGCGACCGTATGGCGGAGTGGCCTTAATGTGGAGAAAAGGAGTGTTCTCATCGGTGACAGTGGTGCCGTGCGTGAGTGCAAGGCTTATAGCGGTTAAATTGTGCCTCGCGGATAGCTGCTCGTTGGTGTTCTCAGTGTACATGCCTACTGATAGTGTAGATAATTTAACGGAATTTACAGAGGTGCTTAGTGAAATGAATGCCATAATCGAGGCTAGTGAAATAGAGTCGGCTATTATGCTGGGCGATTTTAACGCGCATCCTTCGGAATTATTTTATAAAGAACTATCTGGTTTTTGTGATGAGCAACGGTGGCTCTGTGCCGACGTGGTCAAGCTAGGGTTATGTTGTGATACTTTTACTTATATTAGCGAGAGTCATAATTGTAAGAGGTGGCTTGACCACTGTCTTGTAACGGAGGCAGCTTCGGAGTGTTTGGTTGATGTAGTGATCCATTACAATGTCTTTTGGTCAGATCATTTTCCTTTAGAGATTAGCTGTAAGTTGGGTAATGTAACCCCAAAAACTCTGTACACTAGAAATGTTACTGATAAAGTACGGTGGGGTGATAGAGATGAGCAGCAAATACTTAAGTATAGTGAGATATGTAATTATCGGTTAAGAAATATTGAGTTTCCAGCCGAATGTAGAAATTGTTCTGATAAAATCTGTAATATGTTAGAACACAGGAGTATTATTGATAGAATGTATCAAAATATTGTCACAACATTTAGAGATGCTGCTGAAGTCACTTATGTTTTAAAAAAGACCAATGGAAAGCATAAAAAGGTAGTAGGCTGGAATAAACATGTTAGGGAGGTTCACGGGGAAGCGCAGCTCAGTTTCCGGACTTGGGTGTCGCAAGGTAAACCAGTTGTTGGAGAGGTTTACGACAGAATGTGCGAGACTAGAAGGTATTTTAAGTCCAAGCTGAAATGGTGTCAGGACAATGAAAATCAAATTAGAATGGACATTTTAGCCACCCACCATTCCTCAAAGGACTTTAAGGGCTTTTGGAAACACACTAAAAGGATGGAACCTGGGGCTAGCATCCCTGTGAGTGTTGAGGGTCACTGTGATCCAAGACAAATCGCGGAACTCTTTAGAGAGCATTTTCATGTAGATTCTCCCTTAGGGCCGGTGATGGGGGTGCTCGACGCTGCGCCTGAGTCAGGTGGTGATTATAAACGTTTCACCAGTAAAGAAGTCGCTGCGGTAATTCACGATTTGTCGAGGGGAAAGTCGCCGGGCCACGACGGACTCAGCGTGGAGCACTTACGTTACGCGGGTGTACATCTTCCCAGAGTGCTGGCTTTGTTTTTCAATTTATGTATAGGGCATACGTATCTACCTCGGGAACTTATGGAAACCATTGTTGTACCGGTACCAAAAAGCAAAACGGGAGATGCCTCCGACAAGAATAATTATAGACCAATTTCGCTGGCAACCGTGATAGCAAAGGTGTTGGACGGTTTGCTTGATCGCATATTTGAAAGGCACGTGAATTTGCACGAGGCACAGTTCGGGTTCAGGCCAGGGCTGTCCACTGAAACAGCAATTCTGCGACTCAAGCATACCGTTCAATATTACACTACTCGGGGGACACCAGTCTACTCTTGTTTTTTGGACTTGTCGAAGGCATTCGACCTTGTGTCATACAATATTTTATGGGATAAACTCCTTAACGAAACCGGCACGCCCAGGGAATTTATTAATCTGACAAAGTTTTGGTATCAGCATCAAACCAACAAAGTTCGATGGGCTGGTTCATACTCAGGGGAATACAGGTTGGAATGCGGGGTGAGGCAGGGCGGACTTACGTCTCCACGGTTTTTTAACTTGTACGTTAATGCACTGATTGATGAGCTAAGTGGAGCCGGAGTCGGCTGCTCAATAGACGGTAAAATTGTTAATAACATAAGCTACGCCGATGATATGGTTCTGCTTAGCCCATCGGCCAGGGCCCTGGAAGTATTAATTGCAGTCTGTGAGAGGTACGCGGTGTCCCATGGCCTTAGGTATAACTCTAATAAAAGCGAACTACTTGTTTTTAAGGCAGGAAACAAATTGCCTAAGTCTGTTCCTCCAATTAAGCTTGGAGCAGCTGTGTTAAATAGAGTTCACAAATTTAAATACCTTGGGCACTGGGTCAGTGCGGACCTCTCTGATGACCTGGAAGTGGAAAGAGAGCGTAGGGCATTGTCAGTGAGATGCAACATGTTGGCGCGCAGGTTTGCACGATGTAATGCAGAAGTCAAAATAACTTTGTTCAAGGCTTTCTGCCAGACTTTCTACACGTGCAGCCTGTGGGCCAAATGTACTCGCAGATCGCTTGATGCCTTACGTGTGCAATATAATAATGGGTTTAGGACACTGCTGGGGTTGCCCCGGTTCTGCAGCGCGTCTCGTATGTTTGCCGAGGCACGTGTAGATAGTTTTCAAACTATCTTGCGCAAAAGGGTAGCCTCAGTGATGCGACGCGTAAGGGACAGCACCAGCGGTCTCCTAAACACCATATTAGAACGAGTAGATTGCCCGATAATAAGGCACTGGAATGCATGTCACATGCGGTCCAGAGTAGCCTTATTTAATATTAAATGATTTAATTTGTTACTAACATAGTTAATAAGACAATAATTGTTACTAACAAAATATTAATCTTGATGTATTACTAACAAAATGGACCTGAGATGTCTGAAAAAAAAAAAAAAAAAAAAAAGAAATCCGGAAAAATAGTTTCATTTCCTATGTGTAACAATCGCGAAAACCTATATTATGTTTAATTTAGTATCTATATCACTATTTGAAAACACCAAAAAGTAATACGAAAATACATAAAAATGTTCAGGCCCACGCAGCGCAGTTTTTTGGTTTTCAATAATATTTTTTTATATTTTTCCGCACAACAATCTCCAATTAACTACAAAATGACACAGAAGTTATGCATATTGTAAACAACTTCGCAGCTGTCTACATTACGTACCTGCTGTTATCGGATTATGCGTCTTCTTAGATTAGGCTGCCCTACCTTAGAGTAGAAAGTGGTCACAAGTATGTGTTAGGAATCGCCTCATACAATCGTAAATAAGTCGCATAATTTTGTATAAAAACGTTTCCAGGTTTGATGTAAGTACCTTTTCGTCTAAGAAGCCGGGCGAGTGCAGCACGCGCAGTAAGTGTGCGCGGACATAGACGGGCCCGGCGCACTTTACGCACCCCCGCGGGCGGCGCGTGTCGGGAAGTGGCCCTTCCCCGACAGCTGAGTTCCGAGTCCGAGTCCACGCGCACACCACTCGCCACCGTTGTGTTCATATCAAGCGGAGGCAAGGCAAAGCGCTCGTTAGGAGGTCGACGTGCCCAAGCATCTAACGACGCGTCGTCCGATGTGGACGCGTTCCGAGGCGTCGGTAAACGTAACGGCGGCAGAGCACGGCCATAGGGTACCGGGCGACGCATTGAAAAGTCATCACGTCCGGAGCGCGAGTCCAACCGAGCACTCTCGGTCGACGACGAGAAGGCGAGCGAGTTCCCGACAGAACTGAGGTCGACAGTCAGGAGACGGGACCCGAAAGTGTGTGGATCGGGACGGCGCCAGAGCGCGGGCGCGCGCCTCATAGCGCTGGGAGGACTAGGGCTGGCGGGTGCGGGCGCGTCAGATGCAGGTGCAGGTGCGGACGCCGCCGTCAGCACCGCAGGCGGCTCACACGACAGCACGCCGAATGGGTGTGCGAAGTAAAACAAGCACAACGGCCGACCCTGTGACAGACGAAACCGTGTTAAGTAAAAGTACTTAATAGTCCGATAATCGTCAATAACAGATTAATTTTATAATAATATCTCTTTACCGTAGCCAAACGTAGTTTGCCTAACCTGTCACAACAAGTACCAACATAATGTTACCACCCTCAAAACATGTTTACTTAATTTTAAACAATACAAAGTTTAGCAACTTACTCATCTACTTAGGTTTAATTTAGGTACATATTTTTTATGTAACTTGCTCTGTACCTCACCGGACGGCCGGAATCGGCACGGCCTGCGGCGTGTGGTCTGGTTTAGATATGAAAGAATCCCCCAGGGGATCGCAGTAGGGGATTCAAATGGACGGAGGGAAAGAAAAAAGACAATGGAAATGCCTTAAGCCTCGATTACTATGGAACCGCTGTCGCCAAAGCTCCCTCATTCATAATTGTGAACACTATGATATCTTAATAATGATTGGTCGTAGTTTCTAATTTAAACAGAAATAACAAATTCTGGACTATTCATATTGTTTAAACTTTAACCTGTTGGCTTAGCGTTGAAAGTTCAATTCTTGTTGCTCGTATTCCAAGTTACGACATTGTGATTTTATATTGTAAGCTTGGCAGCACATTGATTGAGGTTCCAGGTTTGAAACCCGATTTGGGCCAATTTCGTAAACGAACAATTTTAAGTAGGTCTGGTCTGGATATTCTGGGTATTGCCCTCAGAGTTATCGTTATTCTGGCCTCATAGTACTTGAAATTCCCTAATTTGAGACAAGAACATTGGTGTGATTGTTTGTCATTATTATTATTATATGTTTTCCCTAAAATATTTCTAACCCGTTTGGCACAACTTCCAAGAATAAGGAATCTAACAGAGAGCCGGTAGAGATACAAAAACGCTAGAAGTATCTTATTTCTACGACATTGGGAAGTATGCGTATGCCTTACATTTTTAACAAATTGTGAAATCTTGTAGGAGGTACTCATAACAGAAACTCGATGTAGGTACTAAGGGAGACATACCAAATATTGGATACCTGCTCAATATTATATACCCTGCTATAATGAAAACTAAACAACACTATCCTTATTTAAAAAGTAAAACTACATCGTCAATGTAAGTTAGATACGAATATTTTGTTAGTTAGTAATTTTTGCCTTCAGTTCGCTGTCAAAATTCAAAGTGTATTTTTCCGTTCGACGATTTTTTCAGATGTTGAATTCAGAACGCTGTTAAAATACTTTAAGTGATATTATATTTGGTGACAGTGTTATATACTAGGTAGGCGCATACATAGAATACAGAACTTAACGCATTTCAGCGATAATTACGCAGGGTGAAATTTTCGTAACCGATTATTGTACAAGTAGGTAGTTACCTCAATATTGGATACCTAGGTATCCACAATACTAGATATCCGATATTGGGGTACCTACATCACTGGTTGTATAGTGTCTCATATTTAAATGTTTAATTATTTGCTTAGATGGGGATCATTAAAAAAGATGACCGTTTAGATTTTTTGCCTACTGCTTTTGCAAATTTAAAAGGATCATTATTTAAATGATCCTTGCCCTGGTCAATAGAGTGTACCCGACACTGGATATCCAACATTGAATAGTATACCCTGTACGGGATATCCATTATTAGGGTACATGTGAAAACATCATTGATTTTTCTAATAAAAACAAAATAATTATATAAAAAATAAAAGAACATAGATATAACTTTAATTCATTTTCCAATGTAAAGTCTATAGATAGACAATTAATGTGACTGCAATAAATATAATAATAATTTTAAAATATTATGTTAGTGTTTTTTTCGAACGTTCAAAAAGTATCCGATATTTGGTACGTCTCCCCTACCTACGTACGCGGTGGCGTGCGGTCTTCGGGCTTTGCTCTCCGGCGGACCTTGGCCTACGACCTCGGTATATGTATGACCTTTCTTCACATAATGAAAATGGCTCTTTTATGTCGGCCTTCAGCGACATAAACAAAACAACGTTTATGTGGCGGCTATAACGAAAAACTAAAAAAATACTTTTTTTTTACCAAAAATAGCAACAACAACAAGGTAATAAACCTACATGGTAAACCTATAAAAATTCAAAAAATAAATTTTGACCGCAAATCAATATCAGACACCGATAGGGACCATTGACCTAGAGGTTTTTTTCAGCCGCCAACCAACGCTTGTTCGTTTGTCCTATTGAAAAATGGTAAATAAATAAAAACATTTTATTAGGCACTCCCAGAAGCTTCCACGTGTAAATTTTCAGCTGAATCTTAGCAAGTGTTTCTCAGCAGCCATTTTTAACAAGTAAAACGTTACAAATTATTTCAGCCATATTAAAAAAGGGCGGAAAAAACTTTGCACCCCAAATTAATTATGTAGACTTCTTCGTCAATTTTCAGCCGGATCCAAGCAAGTTTTTCTTCGGCCAACAATTTAAATTTGCCAACTTGATTTGTTTTTGACATAGGCAGCTGTTGACCACTTTTACCCTATATGAGATTCCTTCCAGCATCTAATACCCATGAAATGTAGTGTACGTTTTCGTGTAGTAAAGGCGATTCGAAAACGTGACGTAGGATTGAAATGTTCGTGCTTGGGCCACTGTAAGTTTACGTGACAGAAGACTTTGAAATTTGTATGGTGGCCATCTTCTTTATTTTAATTTCGAATATTTTTTACTTCCGGCGGATATTGGCCTCATAAATGTGCTTATATAGCCCGTTTGTATATTATAGTTTTTGCAGGGCTTTGTATAACTGTTTTGTATTTTCCGCATTCAGGTCATCTCGTATTTTTCCCTTTGCTTGGAACCTATCCGCAAACAACGGTATAAATATTTTTTTCCACCGTATCGAGAACTATGCGTTCTATTTCTATCAGTGAGTCTCAACATGCAGCTTTATAAACACTCATCAACAGTGTCTAAGGATCGAAGTTTTTTTTTTAAATATTTGTTTACCACATGGACCTGTTTACCATATTAAAATAAAATAAAAATATTTACAAAAAAATATTAAATTATTTATTTTTTTAATTATGAAATAGACCAAAAAAAATCATTTGTATTAACCTGATTTACAGTAATTGGTGAATCCTCGATCCCCAGACACTTTTGATGTGTGTATATGTGTGTATATTGTAACAATGTATATAATATTTTAGTAACAGTAGAGCTCCTTGTTCAGGGAAGTACTGCCACCCTGTTATGGACAGGCAAGACGCACTCTTGCCACTAGGAAAATAAACATACCTATAATTCTATTTTCTTTTATCAAATCCGTTCTTGTTTGCGATATCAACAACAAACGACTACGTTGAATGATTACAGTACACAATGATTCCTATAAAAATGTTTCGGTAGGTAATGACTAACCTTAATATCGTCCGTAGAAGTCGAAGCATCCGATCTTCCAATATTCATAACTAGTTATTTGCTCTGTAAACTTTGCAATATGTATACTTGGTGGGTATAAATATCTTTGTCTTTAGTGCTCATGACCAACAAACTTAAATAAAAAACAAGTTTCGCGGGTCGCGCGGCGTGAGCCCGGCCGCGTTCTGCAGTGAACGTAGGTGGTCGCCGCCACCACCTGCGCCACCCCCACGTGGTGGCACAGGCGTAACTAGAATTTGAACGTAGAGTGAGCACGTCTCCGACCTGCGGCCCATCAACTATGTATTGTGCCTACATCCTGAATTCTTCTTGATCGTTTATCCAAATATCCCTACCAGCTAGTTTAAGCATTTTAAAGATATCGAGTTATTAGATTTTCACGATTGTTACACATAGGAAATGAAACTACTTTTCCGGATTTAAATCGCGTATATTTGTTATTTCAAACAAACCAACGTTTCGGGCCCTGTACAAGTACCATGGTCACGGTTGACTGACCATGGGACTGTAAAGAATCCGAAAATATTTTAAAGCATATTTTGTTTTATTATAATGAGGTATTTGAAGAGTATCGTAAAGAATTTAGATCGTTTATTACGCATGGTTCGATGATATGAGCTAGCAAATCGAGCCCCATAGAAGCTCCATAAAACTGTAATGCGACGCTAAATGCATGACATGAAATTACGACCGTCAAGCGAAACGAGGTTAAAAAATTATTGCAATTTTCAAATAATAGGTACTAAAGATGATCACTGCCTGCAATATCGCCCCGATAAAACAATGTGATATAGTGGCCAACGTAGAGTCCTTTAAATTTTGGCGTAGGTATATATTAATACTCGAAAAATTCTTGCTTATGATGGCCCGATTAAACATGGACGGAGAAGGGAATTAAATAATAACTACACTGTTTATTTAAGCATAGATATCGAGTTAACTTTCTTATTTGCTTGTTTGAGATTGAGTGCTCGTGTCGTCTTTTGACGCTATTGCTACTTACAAGAGAGTCTGGGAGGGGTCGTACCCACCCGTACTTCCCTACTACCTACGAGTGGTGGCGGGTCTCCACCCATTTGGTGCCTGGCACGCGCGGTTGCCACTGCTCGTGGTGTCACGCCATCGCACATTGCACCTCCGCAAAACTATTGCGCGCCCGAAGGAGGGAGGGAGATCCTTGCTCGGTCACGATCGAACCGGGCCGCCTTTAAACGAGCGACCTAAATTCGAGCAGTAGGTAATCATTTCACGCAACAAACACTTTTGCTGTCGGCACGTGACTGCATGTTTGCTCGTATACGCCTCTATCTACTACTTATTTGCCTAACTCACTCTCACTCCGAAAGCATTCAGTCACTACAAAAGTTGTCGTTCCTATTATTCCGCACATTATCACGTGCGGCGCGCGACTCGCCGTTACATTCATATTATTCAAGTAGGTATAATAATCATTCATTTGTCATACTATTTGAATGAGTGTCAAAACTGTCCAAACTTATGTCAATACACTCACTCATCCAAATTGATTAATGTGGACAAACCTTATACTATGGAAAAAACAATAGTCTAAAGGTCGTATTCCAGAACTCTACTCAATGCTCAAGTCAGGACTTGAGCAGACTTGAGTATGATTTCAAGTACTGGAAATACGACCCTAACGGCAAGGACTTGAGTATGATTTTCAGTGCTTACTGCAATACTCAGAGAAATATCCTTAAAGGATAGGAAAAAATTAAATATCATAGTTTTACATTTAATAGAATTTTTACAAATATCAAATCTATATCTGAGTGGCACTGCAACTGTCATGGACACCATCAGCCACAGGACTTGATCGTCCCGTCACTTGATATTATAAAAAAATCAAATAATTTATTTCATCAAATTATATCCAGTTAGTACCTACTTTTAGGGGCACAGTAGAGCCACCTATCCGGTTTCTAGAGATATACCTACCTAATACCTCGTGTACGCCAGAATTGCTGAACGGTGTAACGCATAGATATATATCTAGATATGTCTGTGTGTCTAGCGTGTCTTATTCCAGCGTGACCATGATCGAGATTCACGAGATTGAGAAATGGTGGTGTCGCTGGAATAAATTTATTCCAGGCTGGACAGTAAAACACCCATAACTTTTGACGGTCCGACTAAATATAGTTTCTTGCGACTACAACCGAATAAATAGCGATTTTATTTTCTGGTTAGTCAAATATGAAAGACTCGACCACAGTCACGCTGGAATAAGCCACGCTATTTTGTAATCTGAGCGGGCCCCACTCATTTCTTGAACATGAATTCATTGGAATCTAGCTGAGAGTAGATTGAGAAAGAGAAATGGGGACCACCAGAGGAAAGGGCAAACAAAACGATCGCACACTCTAGTGCTTGAAATTAAAGAAAGTACTGTCTTGTGTAACTAAAGTTTATTAAAAACAAAAGTCGTTGCTCAATGAAGTCGTTCACATGAGCTATACGTGGTCAACCGAAAGTTTTTATTTATTTAACGATTTATATATTATATATAAATCGTTATCGCTATTAATAATAATATATTATAATATATTTAGGTGAACACATACGGTACTATGAGTAAATTTATAGCTCACGTGTATGACACCACCACTGAGGATCTTAAATCAGGTAACAATCATAACACTTTTACACGTATATATTAAATAACAAAAAAAAGTCCACAGGACAGTCGATCCTATGACTTTATAGATTAATTAATCATTATGAAGTCAAAGCCAAAGAATCATTTATTCCATAGGTAAATTTACACTTCAAAACGTCACATTTAAGCTACTGCTCGTTCACTACGCTGACCCTGAGAAGAACGAGCAAGAAACTGTAGGGATTGCTCTTTTCAAATAAACTTAAATGCTATGGAATACACTTTGAATCAAATTTGTGTGGATTCTGGAGCCGTGTCGTCTTTCATACAATCATTATCTAACACGTAGTCTTCAATTTTGTAATATGATTTTTCGATCGAAATATTTTTAATGTAGTTATTAACTTAGGACATGATAATCTTAATATATGCTCCGGAATCTTATTGTAAAATCGTATACAGTTCCCCATAAAAGAGTCGTTTACCTTGGTTAAACGAAATCGGGTACAATGAGTTTGGACTTAACTCTAAGGTTAACATTATGGATATTTTCTTTCTTATTGAAATCAAGTATTGTTTACACAATTGGTCCAAATTGTAATAATCTTCCTAGACAACAGAATAAAAACAATTTTTTTTTTTAATTTTGGTATCTTCATGATTGCGCTATGAGTTTGAAAATATTAGGTACCAAATGGGTACGAACCAAGTCTTTTTTGGTTATTAAAGTTATTCACTTTTTCAGTTGTAAACTGTCAACGTCGCACTTCCTTATATGACAACACATATTACCGCAGCAGTTACCCAACTCCTCAACTACTAGAGTTGACCCATCGTGACGCTGACAAGGGTCTGCTGATGGAGTGCGAAGGAAGACACAAAAACTTATTTTATTAAAACATAGACCCACCGAGTTTGGACTTGTTGGTTTGATCTTGGCGAGTAGTTGGTAGACAAATGGCGTTCAGGGAGCGCGTGACCATGACGCGATTTTAGGTTTATCAAACGATACTTTGTATTCATTGAATGGTCTTGACAAGTAGTAGACAGACAGAAAATTCATATAGTGAATAACTTCTAAACCAAATGACATAGAAAGTACTCATTGGAAATAATGTCACAGTAATCAAAATTCACAAAATCTGTCATTTTTTAATGACTTATTAAAACCAACCAAAATAAGTAAGCAAAAAATCCTTGGATTAAGAAGCTCCAAATCGAAGATCCTGCTAGAAATACTTGCACGGCAAAAGCGTGCACAAACTCTTTTAACTAGCATTGCTATTTGATAATACAAATAGTACTATCATACAGCCAGTTCTAAAAATAATATTCCGCTCTCAGGACATCTAAACCTATTGGGTACCTACCTAACTGTTTACAACAAAAACCAAAGATTTGAACATAAATAAGTCTTGCTACTCATTATATCAAGTTGAGGCATCTGATACTCTGTATTGTGTGATAATTTCATTACATGGCTCAGAGTAATAATATCCTATTTATATCCTTCAACATGTGAATAGTGGCACTAATGCAAATGCTTCACAAGCAAAAAAATCTTTGAACATATTATTTGTAGTATATGCAACTAAATTATATAGAGTTACAGTAACAAAAAGTGTATTAATTATGTGGATACAGAGATACTGTTAAACAAAGTGGTCAGATTTTAAAATTACCAGATTACAAGATTATCAGGTCAGATGACTGACTTTAAAACAGGCACTGTGTCCAAGGAAAACCAAGGGTGATAAATTACATTACGATAAGAGCAGACAAAATTATCGGCTTAGTGTATACTTTTGACACAACTAACTATTTATTAAGGGCTTATCTTGTATTACAGTAACAGGATTGTATTAAAGAATATCACGTTTTTATAACTTTACAAGGATAAGGCAGGCTCAACCGCTCAAATTCTTGACTGCAGAGCCAAAACAAAAATATTTTATACTGATGTGGCAGTATTTGACAAAATGCACACAATTAGACATGAGGTCCGTCCCAAAAATACCTGACTTTCGACCTCAGTCTTCCCAGGGTCTATTACTCATTATCTGGCTTGTATGTAATGTAGGTATGGCGGCATTCTTCAACGTAATCTCCATTCAACTGAACAACACACTCCCAGCCGAGGGCTTCCACATCCCGAAGGAGTTATCAAAATCAGTTTTCGGATTTTACTTCAGCACACTTGTCACATTTTTGTATAGTCTGTGTGTCATACTTATGGTACTACAAATTTATCTTTTGTAATAATAGTAGGTATTAATTAAAATATGAGGTGACAAAGTATAAAAATTAAATAAGCATTAACTCTTAATTTGCTTCATTCGCGGATCCGAGACAGACTTGTTATTTCTGGTTGTTATGGACAACCAATGAACTTCGACAAAGTAAAAGTTAAGGAATGTTCAAAGCTTTTGCATTTCCACTTCAAGAAAATTAGTAAAAATCTAGACATACATAGACGCACAAGCATTATTCTCGGTTTGAGAAAGTTGTACTTACCTCTGGGAATTTCAGGAACGGCCCAGAAAATGAAATTTGCATTGCATTTTTCAATTCAACGGAACCTAACAGAACTTCACATTATCAACTTCAACTTTTGTATCTATGGCTCCGTCGTTTTGCGCAACAATTTCGCCAACATCAGGGTTGAAAGACATGTAGTGCGGTGGTGAGATAGATACTATATTTTCATGTAAAGTCACACATTGAAAATTGTGACATTACTGACAAGACTTTGTTGCCTCATAATTTAATTTGTTGCTTTGTTGTTTCGTCTTAAAAGAGAAATTGTAGTACCATATGCAGTACGACCGTGTCCAACCAATACACTATAGTACCAAGTGCAGCAGTTTCAGGAAAAGGCTGCCACAAGAAATTTTCAGTATTGTCAAATTTTTCACATTAATAACTTAAAAAGATGCATTTAACTTAGATACTTTATACATAAGATATTACAGAATATTAATTATCCTTTGCAAAATAAGCTATTTTTATTGAAAAAAAGACCTACCAACAAATTATTACATCACTACATATAATAGGTTAACTTTGTCCATTTTTTTCCCGGCTTTTTGTATTAGACTCTGAGTCCTTTTATTGGTAGGTCAATGTTGGAAACTAGTAAATTGATAACAAGTAGCACTCTTGTTGTAAAGAAATTACAAAACTATATATTGGGACTTGGATGGAGTATTTTGGTTTGACAGAGTGGTTTGGTAGAGTAGGTTGTTAAATTGAATTGTTCTTTATTTTAAATACTACCACAACACACACACATACACACACCTGGCACATACACATATGAATAAAATATTTTCGTCCACCTATTCTTGAATTTAGATTACTGTGCATCTGTGCGGGGCCTCCGGAAGAGGAGCACATGCGGCTCAGGATTGTGGATCATAAAATGCAACCAGTTCGGACTCTGCTGCACGCCGAGATTGCGCCATTCTGTCTCGGTCATTAGGTGGGACTTGGGCACCAGCCGAGCAATGTCCGCCGGCAAAATTACATGTCTGCAATCAAAACCTTTTTTCATTAATCTATAATATGTATACAGAATCAAATATTATATTTTGCTACTCACTGGAAACCAGCACGTCTTCTGTTTGAAACCAAACAATGCTACGATTTCAGTGCGGCAAACAAAACTTACCTGTATTCATAAATGTCGTCGCTATATCGCTCGCTGTACTGAATCTGTTCCACAGGCATTTTGGAGTCCCTATAATTGGCATCAATGAAATTACCGATACATCAAAGCGCGACTATGAAGTTTCCACCCCTAAAATTATTGCCGACACTGCAACTGAAACTCATGCATAACTCATCTGAATCACCGGGGCCCGGGCAACTCACAAAAAAGATTATAAGTCTGTCACTGTCACAGCCACAGAACACTATACTCACAAGGAGGTCACAGCCACAGGCCAGGCAGGTTTCACCACAAACAAGCTTTAAAAAGGCCCATTCACTACCTGTATGGCAGTATTGGCAGATTGGCAGTCCGCCGCGCAGGCAGGAGACTTCACACACTATCCAGCGTATGGCCCACGTGTGAAGTCTCGCAGGATGCAATGCAGGATTTACAGAATTGCAGGATGGCTTCATTCATTGATTACATTCGTAATCAGAAGGCTAGACGGACTGCAGTGCAGGACAATGAATGCCCACTTTAAAACGGTCCATTCACTATCTGCATGAGTAGTATTACTCATCTACTGCTCACACACTATCCTGCATATGGCCCGCGTATAATCTTGCAGGTTTGTGTTAGAGTTTGAGCATGATGTTCCATGAAACTCAATGGTCAAAAAGAAGAAATATGTTTAAATGTCATGTTTAACCTTGTCAAAAAAATGTCGGAAAAATATAATAAAAACCGCCGAAGTATTTTAATAATCGGCAAACTATCTCACCACCGCTACACATGTCTTTCAGCCCTGACATTGGCAAAATCGTCGCGCAAAACGACAGAGCCATAGACACAAAAGTTGAAGTTGAAGGAGTGATAGCAAAATATATTTTTCAACACATTTGCTCGTAACGGGCTTCTTATTGTATCGCTTTTAGGCTCATAAACCTAGCTATTGAACACGCGTTTGTAATTATATTACAAAACGTGTGTGTAATAAGTATAGGCTTAACCGGATTAAGATGTATCTCACAACAAGGCCTATGTATTAAAACTATGCATTCTTAAATTATCCGGGTTATGTCTTTGAAATTAACTTGGTCTATTAAAAAAAACAGCTCTAACCTACATATTATAAGATTCAAATTACAATGACAGTAATCCCAAACAAACAGGGTCACAGTTTTTTTTTTATTTCTGTTTAATACGGTTGTGTAGTCTTACCTCACAAATAATATTTTTATTAATAAATTTATATTTCTTATTTGATGTGATAAATATAGAAAAACATACACAATATACACCTATAAAACTTTAATTGAATAAAATTACTTATTTTGGATAATATTTTACACGAATTTGAGTGAAATAAGGACATATTTATATTATTTCGCATTGGCTGTTTAGGAATTTCACCTAAGTCTCATTATTGCCGAAGCACCTGCGCGCGCATATCCGCGCCGCGGCGCCAGGCGCAGAAAAAATAACTCTGCGCGCCAATTTCCATTGATACGTTCGAAACATTTATATACGCTGTGTGTTAGATAATTACCTAGGTGTTTAAAATGTCCTGCTCAAGCACGGAAGAAAACATTTTGATGGATTTAACACCGCCCGAAATCCTCACAGAGGCACAAAACGCAAGTGACAGTTTATTACCTTCGAAATCCAGAGAAAAATACATGGCTGCATATGAAACTTTTAATTAATGCCAAATAAAGCTATTTTTATTTCCATTTTACTCAAGTTTGTTTCATTTTCCTCGCAAATGTGTTGAAAAACGTCGTATGAAACACGTGTGCTTTGATCATTACACTCTCGGCTTTCTTATCGCGCTCGCCTGCGGCTCGCGCGAGTAATAACGCCTCGTGTGTAATGACCAACTTAGCACACTTGTATCATAATGTACTATTACAATTTTGTTTATAAATAATATTAGCAAAGTGTAGTAAATTCTTTAACTACAAGTTCTAAATGTTTGCAGTATGGCTTGCACGCTGCGACTACATTCATCTTAGAGCATATAGTCCTATGAGCATATTATACTAAATCTATGGAGCATATAGTGCTATGTGCTCTAAGACATTCAAAATAAATAGGCGGACTTCAATGCAGGATGATGGATGCCCACTCTTAGGGCGCGTTCCCACTATGTCGTCACGTTTTATTATCTTTGGACGACTATCGTGTCTAGCCTGTTCCCATATTACGACTATCTGTCGTGGACGATTTTTTATCGTTGAACAACTGTCGTGACTAGCTGTTCCCACTAGATCGTGACGACAATTTGTCGTTTCACGACAGCCTCCTTGTCGTTTGCACGACAGAATCGTTTGATGCACTGCAGTCGCTTGTATGTTCTTTTGGAAGTCGGTAGTGTGTGTTCGCTCGAAATGGATGAAGACGAAATTTTAATAATGTATTATTTTTTTTAAAGAATGAAAAGAATGAAAGAAAGAAAGAAAAAAAAAGAAGAGGAAGTAAACAAAGAAAAGAAATTTTTGGGTACATCCAATGCTACTAAAAAGAATTCCATTAGGGTTTAGTCAAACAGTGTACAAAGTTACTTTCTTTTCGGTATTGTCAAAACCTGCTACGACCAGAGATGGGCAGTGGGTTAAAACCCAATCAACCCGCCCGTGTTTTCACCAGGGTTTTACCCGAAGCGCCGAGTTTTAACCCATTTCTGCCCACGATTTTGGGCAGAAATGGGTTAAAGTTAAAGTTGGTAATTTGTGGTTATCTATGTGTGTGTCCATGGCACTCGCGACGCAGGGTTTCTCTAGTGCGGGGCTATGTTGAGTGTGTTCGTTATTTAATTTATTTATTTAAATTACTTGACTTCAATAAAATGTAGGTTTAAGGGTGTGATGTATATATATTTTTGTAATATTCTTAGTGTTTAAAATAAATAAATAAATAAATAAATAACAAACTGCATTCATTGACGTCACTATTCGAACTAAAACAAAATAAATGTTAGGAAAGCTTTGAATATCGCCTTCCCCTTGCCCGCAGCCCCTTCTTGCGGAGATCGATCTTGACCGCAGCCACTTCTTGCGGAGATCGATGCTATTTGTCGCCGTCGTATCGGAATGCAACAAGGTTTAAATTAAACAAAATTAAACAAAAGAAGCTATTAGCTTTTTTGTTTAATTTTCTCATCTCCCTCTTCTCCCGTGAACTCTTTTTGCGGAGATCGATGTTATACGTCGTATTAGGTTCTTTTGTCTAATTTTCTGTAATTACAATTGCATTAAGACAAACAAAATACTCAGTAAATAAACTTATTTAGTTTCTAATGTATACAGCACTTGCTCGGTGCTTGGACGTATAACGGGCCGATCGATGATGAATCAAATGAAACAATTTCGCCTATTTATTTCGTAATTGCAAGTGGGCAACACTTCTGTGCAATTGTCATATTACTCCGTCTTCAAAAAAGACATACTATAGGTACTGGTGAAATCATAAATGCCGCATTCTCAGATTCGTGCGAGTGACGATGCGATACGTGGCCACGTGGCGCCACTTGGAGTAAACGAACGTTCTGTACCAAAATTTGTTAAATATTTTAATAATGCATTAATTCAAATAACAAGTTTGTCATAGTACTAGTAACCACCACAAATATAGACAATAAATGTTTGTGGGGATAACGGCTTGCGATTTATAAAGCAATTACAGTGATAGATTATTGGCTTGGAAACGGCTAACCGACAATCAAAAAAGTAAATCCCCTAGTGTATATATTTAGACTATCTGACTAAGTGACTAAGTGCGTTGATTTTAGTGCGGAATGTAATTGTAAAGTTTGCTAAATTATAAATTTTATGATGACAAAAACCGTTAACAGTTGAAGAGGTAAATTGACATTTGGACTGTGCTTCGAAATCGTTTATAGAAAAGCACTCGTAATTTGTGTTGTGACGTCAGGTGCCATTTGGTTCAGTGGTTACACAGTAGGGCTCAAAATCTGTCGAACCTGGTTCTCTAATCCAAGCGAGCCGGAAAGTATTTATTTCTTTATTACTTTTATTTATTTTGGACACTCGTGTGACAGATTAACACTAATTAATAGCCTTATTACATTTATATTTTATATTATTGGAAACCCCGCATACCCCGGCACAAAACGGACTAAATAAACGCTCTTGTAAATTTTAATCAGTTATGTTGTTTAAAGTTCGAATTTATGTTTAAATTATAAAACATACAATGATCTAAAACCTGTCTGATTAAAACAATCTAAATAGTGATAACATTAAATCCTGTAATTACTTGTAACAAATGTATGTGCTTTAAGTTTTACGTTAAATAAATATAATAAACGCTTAGTGAAGTGACTCAGTAATGTGCTCGAAAGTGTGAATCAAAAAATAAACAAGGTACTTCGTGTTGCTTAAATTTCGACGCATAACAAGATAGATATATAGATAAACACTTTATTCACTGATATAACACAAATACTGATTAAGCATAAAAGAAAAAAAAAACATGATTGTCATAGCAGTGAAACGGCGCTGACTCAGCATATGCCAAAGTTTCCTAAGGCGCTGGTCTTCAGCCAGAACCAACGAGAGGGATTAAGTTATTAGAAAGCAAAAATATAACGACTATGAGTAAAGTTATACATTGACAATAATAATATACATGGTGAAGTGTAAATAGTGCATCTAAAATAACCTGTTTGACATATAAGTGCATGAGCAAATGTGAATATAATTACAGCTGTAGGTGTAAGTTATGACTGTAAAGAGGATTTACTGTTGTGTAATGTAATTAGTATTATAATATAATTATACACATAATAAGAGTAGATCAAAGCAATAACAAAATTCGATTCTAAACAGACTACGTTAAAGAATAAAAACACACTACACAGATTTTTGAAGTGAGAGTAGGTGTTGCCGGTACAGTGCTTTGAATTTGGGTATGGATGTCTCGTTGCGTATAGGTGGCGGAATATTATTCCAGCACTTTGGCCGAGTATTTGAAACTACTTCGAAAAGCTGTAGTTCTATGTTGTAGTACCATATGATCGGACAAATCGCTCTCTGTAGCGTACATTAACACTAGATGACCACATTAGTTTTTCATAAAGATATTCAGGTGTTCTAGTTTTTACTATATCGAATAAAAGTCCTGCATACAGGAGATTTTGACGAGCCCCGATATTTAGTAGATTTGCAGCGTTGAGATAAGGAGTGACGTGAGTACGAGGGGAAGTTTGTGTGTT